TTGGTTACTCGGGGTGTTTTGTGATTTTATACAAATTTTAGGACTGTTTCTTCTAGTTCTATGAAACCTGACATTGGAATTTTGATAGGGATTGCACTGAAAAGTAGATTGCTTTTGCATATGGACATTTTAATAATATTAATTCTTCCAGTCCATGAGCATGGACTATTTTTTTTATTTGTGTCTTCAATTTTTTCAGCAATGTCTTATAGTTTTCAGTTTACAGGTCTTTTATCTCCTCGATTAAATTTATTCTTAGATATTTTATTCTTTTTGATGTAGTTATAAATGAGATTGTTTTCTTAATTTCTCTTTCTGATAGTTTGTTATTAATTGCCGCTCTTTGTGATGTTAGCACATAATATGCTAGTAACCCTTAATGGTGGTATTCTAATTTTATAATTCCTTCTCCCTTTATTGACTGTAATACGTCTATAAAGTGAAATGTCTTTTTATTAACTATTTGGATACCTCCAAAAGCAGTTCTTATAGGAAAGGCATGATAAATATTTGATTTGTTTCTTTTATTTAACAATTTTCAAAATAATTAGCTGGTTCTTTAGCATTTTCCAAGGGTAAAAAAAGAAATTTATTCTTTTAGAGTTTTTATGTATTCGTGGATTTAAGCATATTTTATGTGTTTGGCCAGTAGGAGCAACAAAGCAATATATAGAGTCAATCTCTATCAAAATCCCAATGGCCACTTTTGCAAAAATGGAAAAGTTGATTCTAAAATTTATATGGAATTCCAAAGACCCTGAATGGCCAAAAACAATCTTGAAAAATAAGAATAAAGTTGGTGGACTCACACTTCTCCATTTTAAAACTTACATCAAAGCTACAATAATTAAAAGTGACAGAGGGATACACATATAGATCAATGGAATAGAATTGAGAGTTCAGACCAAACATTGACCAAACATTTATGGTCAATTGATTTTCAACAAGGGTGACAAGATCATTCAATTGGGAAAGAAGTCTCTTCATCAAATGGTTCTAGGACAACTGGATATTCAAATGTAAAAGAATAAAGTTGGACCCCTGTTTTACAACATATATAACAATGAATTCAAAATGGATCAAAGACCTAAATGTAAGATGTAAAACTATAAAACTCTTGGAAAAAAACATAGGGGTAAATCTTCATGACGTTGGATTAGGCAATGGTTTCTTAGATATAACACCAAAAACACAAGTGACAAAAGAAAAAATAAATTGAACTTCATCAAAATTTAAAAATTTTGTGCTTCAAAGGATCTATCAAGAAAGTGAAGAACAACACATTGGATGGATGAAAATACTTGCAAATCCTATATCTAATAAAGATGTGGTGTTCAGAATATATATCGAACTCCTACAATTCAACAACAAAAAGACAATAACCCAATTAAAAATAGCCAAATGATGTGAATATACATTTCTCCATAAAGGATATATAAATGACCAATAAGCACATGAAAAGATGCTCAACATCATTAGTTACTAGGGAAATGCAAATCAAAGCCAGGGTAATATACACTTCATACTTACTAAGAGGGTAGTAATCATAATCATAATCATTATAATAATAGAAAATAACAAGTGTTGATGTGGAGAAATTGGAACCCTATGCATTGATGATGGGAATGTAAAATGATGCAGTCACTGTGGAAAATAGTTTGTTAGTTCCTCAACAAGTTAAACATAGAATTACCATTTGATCCAGCAAATGCACTCCTAGGCACACACGCAAAAGAATGAAAACAGGTGCTCAAAGAAAAACTTCTACATGAATTTTTGTAGTAGCACTGTTCATAATAACCAATAGTTATTGGAAATAACTGAAATGTCCATTAGCTGGTAAATGGATTAACAAAAAGTCGTATAGCCATATAATGGAATATTATTCAGCCATAAATAGGAATGATCCATGGTAGAACATGGATGAATCTTGAAAAATTATGCTAAGTGAAAAGAAGACAGAGTCAAAAGACCACGTATTGTTTGATTCCATTTATATGAAATATCCAGAATAGGCAAATCTATAGAGACAGAAAGTAGATTAGTGGTAGCCAAGGGCTTTGGATTGGGGGAATTGGGAGTGCTAATGGGTACAGGACTACATTTGGATGATAAAATATTTTAAAATTAGATAGTGGTGATGGTCACACAACTTTGAGAATATACTAAAATCTGCTAACTTGTACACTTTAAAATGGTGAATTTTATGGCATGTGAATTATATATCAATAAACAAGATTAGAGACTATTATAAATAACTTTTTATATTATTATAAATACATTTGAAAACTTAGATTAGGTAGAAGTAGTATATGAATCACCAAAACTAATTAAGTACTTTTTTATTTTTAAAATCTTTTTAAAAAGTAATCTTAAGAAGAAATAAATAACCTGAATCATAAGCAATGATTATATAATTTGATGATAGTTTTATTTAGTAAATAACCAACTTAAAAAATGAATATGTAGTTAAGAAACTGAAAACTTCAGGTCTAAGTATCTTTACTAGTGGACTCTACCAAATATGTAAGAAAGAAATAATGCCAATTTTATAGAAACTTCTTCAGAAGTTAAAGACAAGAGAATATATCCTAAAATTTTTTATGTCAATATTACTCTGATATCAAAATTAGACACAGACATTACAATAAAAGAAATCTCAAGTCAACATCCCTCATGAATATAAATATAAAAATTCTTACTATCATTTTAGCAAATCAATATATAAAATTATATCATGACCAATTGTGGTTTATCCCAGGAAGCAATGTTGGTTAACATTCAAAAATAAATCATGATATTAAACAGACTAAATAAAGGAAAAGAAACCTTCATGTTTGGGGGAGAGTGTTATTTTCTATAGATCCAAAGTAGAATAATTCTTTAAAACTGAATTTGGAAGCACCAGTATGCTATGGTTTCCAAATCTCTAGATTTAATTTCTAAGTAAAAAAAAAAAAAAATCTCTCATGTAAGTTTTAGATAAGTTTTGCTATTTGAAATGTTTATTATTCTGATTGGTCTGATCATTTCATCAAGGCACAGATATATGACTTAATAATTGATTTATTTCTGAAATTTTGTATAAAATCCAAATTCAGTAAAATGAACTTGGGAAAATCACTTTAAAAGAAATTTTGTGATGTATTTTAATCCCTTTTCTAATTAAAATTTCTTATTAGTTTATGCATTTTAAGTTTCATTTTCCTTAAAGTAGGAAATATCACTTTTAGCACCTTGAAGTGCTACTTCCTCCTATCTTCCCATTTCTCACCATTATTATGTGAATGAATCTAAATTCTTATTTTTGAATAACTTTTCCTTCACCATGTCTATTTTAATTACCTATTTATAACTTACTTATAACTTTAAAGTACCTTGATGTTTTTCTAGTAATGAGCTATGTAGGAATATAACTGGATACTCAAAGGCAGATATTTAACTTTTTGTTAAATTTCCCTCTTTTGTCCTTTTAAGAAGTTAGGCAAGAATGTGGCTGTCCCAAACAGGTATACGGTAAATGGAATTTATTGCCAAAATTTATGTTAGTAAACCTCTAATATTTAGCATGATAACAACACAAACTACAGAGACCTTTCTGCTGGTCTCTGTAACATTTAATTCTTTGTTAACAGTTTAGATTAAAAAGGGACATGAATATTAAGCTAACTTAAATAGATCCATTTTTCTAGTCCCTAGGAACCTTGGATAAATATATAATAAAAAAAGGAAGTTCAAAACAATACTTAAAATTATATTTTTGGAATGCTTACTGTCTGTCTAAACCCTTGAATCTTATGATAAAATATAAGCAAAAGATGACTGTGTGGTTTTTAAGTCATTAAAAACAGAAGCATATTGAGTACATATAATAGAGTGCTTATTATAATCATAGATTTTGTAATTAAATAGCAATGGGTTCAAACAGTAGCTCTGCCACTGACCAGCTGTGTGTTCTTGGATGAGTAACTTGAACTTGGTAAGCCTCAATTTCCTCAGCCATAAAAAGAAGATATAGTATAAATGTGAGGAGCAAATGAAATAAAATAATTACATAAAGTGTCAATCCTATTGTTCATGTTACTTTTTTTTTTCCTGAGGGTGGAGACCAAGCCTTATTTACTGTCGTATTCCCTGGGTCTGCTCGCTTTTTTTTTTTAATTGAACAGAATTTCAAATGGATTTAGCCATCATCAGATTTCACTGAGAACAAGTAGGATATGAAACTAATTCAATCTGGATTAGAATTAGTGTCAAAGTGGCCTGTGTTTCATTATCCTGGGGGCTAGTATTCCCTATTGAATAGCATGAGGAAAATGAACATACTCTTCAAAAGCCTGCCTATGAGTCAAGAAACTGCAATATATTGCCTTTCTTAGCTAAAGTGATTCATCTGATCGAGATTATAGAAATTATAACTTCCTAACAGAAGCAAGAGTGATGTCTCATAGTCACTGGTAGACATTATAATGTAAATTAATTGTGAGTCCTTAAGAACTTTATATGCCAGATTATTTGAAGATAACTTTCTACTCAGAGTAATAACATAATGTTGCTCAAGGACACTGATTCAGTCTAAGTGGGTGAAGACAGAAGGAATGCTCACCTCCTAAACACTGAGCCCCAGGAGAGAGGCTAGGAAAACAGAGGCATCCTTGAGAGTTAATCAGATAGGTGTGGAAGTTGAGAAGGCCCATAATGTATTCCAAAAAAATTCATGAGTTTCTCTGGTATTCCATGCATTCAACAGTTTACTTGGGTAACGGGATTGGTTCAACTACGGGAAGAGAGTCAGAGGCTAACCAGAGAAGAAAGAAGGGGTTGTCCTAGCCCTTCTCCTTTCATGAACCTCTGTGTTCTAAAATGAATTTGAACTCATTGACCCAAATTTGGCTATGGCTAGAGACTGCTAGTGGAGAATATCAATCAAGCACTGTGGTCAGAGGCTAAAAGAAGGTAACAGAAAGAGAAAAGTAGTCTTGAAAAGTGGAATTACCAACCTATAAGGAATCATATCAATGAGCGTCTTGCTGGTTTCTGTATCCATGTGTATCTTGTTTGCAAATGCACTGAAGCCAAGAATCTGTAGGGGTTTAAAAAAAAAAAGGCATATGATCATCTAAATATTATTTTACGTATTGCTTCCAAGAGTAGAGGTGCCCTCAGCATCTGGCAGGACAGGGAATGAAATATGTGGCAGTCTATTTATGAAGATTGGAGAGAAGGCCAGTTTAGCGGAGCAAAAAAGGCAGATGTTCTCCCTGACTCTTTTAGTTCCCTAAACCCTTTTTAGCATTGTAGCCAGAATGAAAAACAGCTTTGGTCTCTGACATAATAATAGGAAAAAATAGATGCCCTGGACTTCTCTTTCCTTACCAACTTTAAACATCTGGAGCAAATATAAACATATTTTCAGGTAATAGTTGTATCAAGGCCTCAGTTTTAAAAGTTTTTAGATTTTAGATTTAAGTTGTGCTAATATAAATATGCCTTTTGGGGGATTGTTGAGGTATATCAAGAATCATATTACTGACTAACCCTTAATAATATGAATAGCATTTGAGAGCACAAGGACAAAGTCTTCAGCAAAGCAATTACTTGCCTTTATTCCCCATTCATTTCTTTCTAAAATGGCAAGTCTCCTTTCCATTTCAACTAGACAACCTAGCAGCTGTTATACCTTGTGAAGACCTCACAGAAAAGCAAATTGAACCAGAGACAAGAGATGACTAGGTTTCAAAATAATAATCATATAGTTGCTGTACCCCATTGTCCCTACTAACACATAAATCTTTTCCCAGCTTCTACTCTAAGAGTTTAACCAGACACTGAGCAGCATAGCAGTTGATTTACCTGTGATCAGATGAAGATCCCTAGGAAGCCTACAGATCAAAATGGAGGGAAGAATCTGGATCATAGCTTGAGTCAAAGGAGAGTTTTGGTCTTTTTATAGTTAAGGGACAAGAAGTGTGATGAGTGTCCAAGGAACTTTTTATTTTTAGTATAAAGATAATACTTGCTCATAAAGGAAAATAAAGAAAATAGGAAAAATTTAAAAGCAAAAATAAATCACCCAATGACATCGACTATTGACACTTTTTTTTGTTTTTGCTATACGGCTTAAAAATACACACATATAAATTATGAACATATAGTGTACATCATGTTCTATAACTATAAGACTCTTGAATTATATGTCAGTATATTCTACCTGGATCCTAGATATAGCCTTGAAAAATGTCCTTATATTTGAGACTACTACCTTAAGGACAAATTGAGATATGTGCATGTTCCTCCAGCACATCTAAACAGCAGTGTCATGATGGGTGCTGTGAGAAGCTTTATAGACCTTAGGCCATAGCAGCTTCCATCCTCCCTCTCCCACTCTCCGCACAACCAGAGGAAACATGGAGGTCTTTTTCCAGTTCTAAACTACATCTCTAATCTCTGCTATGTGGTGGAAAGTGTTCCGAATCACCTGCCATGAGAATAAGTAGTATATTGTAGGCTTCAATAACCTTTGAGTATAAATTAGGTAACGAAAAATTTTAATTCCTAAATTGCAATAATTCTAAGTCTTTACCTTCTTGTATCGCTGGGCCTCAGATTGCTTTCTCACTTCACTTTATGAAGCATCCTAATTATTTATAGCATTCCCCAAAGGAATGTCTTAACTGTAGCCCACAAACCAATCCTTCAGCCATAGTAAAGCCACAGCATCCTCTATACTCTTACCTCTTTCCTTTCCTAATAACCCTGGCTAATAATGTTTATTGCCTTTGAGGCTGCTTGAAGGAATATCACTAGGATTCTTATTGCTGATGTCTCAGGAGAGGGTTGATTTGAGAAAACATGGATGAGCCTTGAGGGCATTATGCTAAGTGAAATAAGCCAGACAAAGGAAAATAAATACTGTATGGTATCGATTATATGTGGAACTTAAAAAAAACCCAAACAGTTACATTGATAGAAACAAAGAGTAGAAAAGTGGTTGCCAGGGCCTGGGGGGTGGGTGAAATAGGAAAAAGTTGGTAAAAGGTATAAACTTTCAGTTATAAGATGAATAAGGTCTGAGGACCTAATGTATAACACGGTGACTACAGTTGATAACACTGTATTATATAATTGAAATTTGATAAGGGAGTAGAGCTTAAGTGTTATCAGCAAAAAAAAAGATAAATATGTGAGGTGATAGATGTGTTAATTAACTGGGTGGGAGGAATGCTTTCACAAGGCGCTGTATATCAAATCACCATGGTGTATACTTTAAATATCTTACAAGTTTATATGTTAATTGTACCTCGATAAAGCTAAAATTAGAGAGAGAGTGGTGGTGGCGGGAGAGAGAGAGAGAGAGAGAGAGAGAGAGAGAGAGAGAGAGAGAGAGCGCGCGCACGTGCGCAAGTTAGTGCGCAAGTTAGCAAGCACATTGATGTCTGTGTCATAGGTGCCATCTGCTGGTGACTCGAAAGCCTGTTTCTTAAGGTGCCAGAACTGGACTGGATTCCAAGAAAATGAGAGGTTGCCTCTGACTCCACTTCCCAAACATCATATGCACACTGTCTCCTGGGCTCTAGGGCACCACTATTTGTGCACAGTGTTTTGAAAAATCTTTTGTTAAAGCAGCCTTTCAGCTTTTGGCCTTTATAAATGAAGAGCTTTTGAGCTAATACAAGGAAGAAAGAATATGTACCTCTACAAGAAGTAGACAACAGTTATGAGACAGAGCTTGGTTTCAGTTTCCAAAGCAACCCCCATACTCTTTCGATCATGAACTATATAGACCTGGATTAGTTAGTATAGGATAGGGTATGCTGTGGCAACATACAAACCATGAGATCTGAACACATAAAAGATGTTTTGCCTGCAGGGTCCATTGTGGGCCAGTGTATCTCCAGGGTAGCTTCTTTGCAAATGGTGCCTCAGGGGTCAAGACCAATTCCACCTGCAGACTCCATCACCTCAACAAACAGTCTCTATGATTACCACAGCAGAGGAAGAAAGAAACATGGAGACTCTCGCCTAGTCTCCTGTGCTTTGGCCTTAAAGTCACATAGTCCTGCCTGACTAGGATGGTTGGGAAATATAGGGGAGCACATGGATATTTGGATATTAATTATCTCTGCAACAGAACACTTCTTAAGGGGAAAATAATTCTCAATGACACCCAAGCATTCGGTGATCCTAATATGAAAAATGATGACTTAAAAAACCTGAGCTTTATTTTTGAAAATGTCTTTATTATTATAAAAATGTTAATTATAACTGCAAAAGATACATTTTATCGGTAGATTTTTAAAAAGAAACAAGAAATATTATTATTAGATAGTGGGGAGCCCCAGCTCTGCTGCTTACTAGTGACATGGATTAGGTAATTCATGTCACATCTCATCTCCCTCAACTTCTCTACTGTAGCATAGTGAGAATGCGAAGAGGCTGAATAGCAGAATGATTGCAACTATGTTAAAATAGAAACGAAACTTCTACATAGAAGATGGAAATTCACCAACACTGAGCATAGGCCTGTCATATATTTGTTTGAAAGAAAACAGGACTGAAAAAACTGAAAATCCAAAACTATCAATTGTAGTTGACTCTGGGTGGTGCAGCGTTTGGAATTCTTTTTCTCCCTTTTTTCTTCTTTATGTCTTTTGAAAGTGTTAGGATGAGCCCATATTACTCTCATAAGGAGGAAAAAACCTTATTTTTAAATAGTGTGAAAAAGAGGCAATAGCTAAAAGTCCTTTGAAAATAAGTATGTTTTACAAATATAAGCTAGTATTTAAAACTAAATGTATTCAGCTTTGTCACAATTCAACGTATGTTTTTTAAAAGTTATTTTTACAACCGACTCATTAATATAGAGGACATCTGGTGACAGCCAGAGGGGAGGGGGTTGGGGGGCTGGAATAAAAGGGTGAAGGGTTAAAGAAGTACAAATTAGTTGTTGATAGATGGTCACGGGTATGGGGAATGCAGTCGGCAGTAATGTAATGGCTATGTGTAGAGCCAGAGGGAAGACAGAGTAATCAGGGGGACCATTTCATAAACTATATCAATGTCTAACCAATGTGCTGTATATTTTGAAACTAAAAATAAAAAAAAAAAATTAAAGTTATTTTTAGTCTTCTCTGAACCTTTCTCTTCCTAGGTTGCTTTTTATTTAATTGTTTAAAAGGTAGGTATTTTAAATGATCTTAACCATGAATTTGGGTCATCAAAACACCTACCAGAAAAACTTCCATAGGAAACTCAATGGGGTACCGATTGAAGGAAATTCTGATGCATTTGTTGGTTCTCAGAGCGACAACAGCAGTTAGGAATAGTAGGATGCTGGTAGAATTAGCTTTTGGGAGAGACATACAGTAGTTAACTATGTTCTGAAAGAAAACAAAATTACAGAGGATTAGAAAGGAATATAACAATTGCCTAAATCTAGAAAATGATACTCTTTGTAGATTAATTCAAAAAGAAGTCCCAAGGCAGCGTTGCTGGGCCCAAAAATCTTTGGAGTACTACTAGAACAGCGAGACCAAGTAGGTACATGTGTATTTTTTTAATTTGGAAAAAAATGATATTTTAAACAGTAATGTCCAATAAGGAAAGAATACACTTTATATATTTCACTGTAATGAAGGTCTGTTTATTAGCCTATTCTTTACTGATTTTCCCAGACCATATATGTTCTTTAGCTTGGCTTCTACGCCATTTTTTCATTCAGGGATTACTTAGCATTTTACATTCTTTAGCATTTTACATGTATCTTTAGGATACATGTTTGATATGAGGCATGTAGTAGGAAAAATTGTAATAGATAAAGTACCTTAAAGACCAAATTTTCATATAAATCATTACTTTAGCTTAATATAAAACATTAGTTTAAAAATCTGGGCAAAATGGTTAATGCAACTGAGAACATGGTCCAACTGGCATCTGCAATTAATCAAGACTGTAAATCTAAAAGAGATAAAATTATTTCCAGGACCTCTTCACCCAACTGCCTATGCAGGAGTATCTCCACTCAGGTCTGCTTCTTTTTGGAAACAAGGGGAGGGGTATTTGTAATTTGGGGTGAGGGTAGAAATTACTCACATAGAAGAAGGAGATAGGGCCAGCGTGGAAACTAATCATAATCCCAAAGATGCAAGTCAGCTGGGACACTATAATGTGTAGTGCTGTGGCAGCCAGGTAAGCACTGATTGCAGCCTCTGGAAGGTAAGTGGCAATGAAGCCAAAACCTAACACGCCCATTGATAGCTGCAGAGTGGTCAGATGGAAAAGAAAAACAGAGTGAGATGGAATGTCCTCAGACCAGCCATGGCACCAGTTAGGTTCTCTCCAGGGCACTTCCAACAAAAAAGTTAGGTTAGG